TTTCGTGTGAAGGTGTGAGCCATAAGCGCACATGGAAGCAAGGTGAACCACGTGCACAAGACCAACGCAACACAAGCAGCGATAGCAAACTTCGACACCCACGCACTCGAATGCAAGGACGTGAATGCAAGTGTTTACATGTGTGAGTAAACACACAAACGCACACGCACACACAGATGTACTAACGTAACACAAAACACACTCGTACACAGACATACGCGACGTGCCTGGTGCGGGGTGGCGGCGGGAGCAAGGCGGCATATGACGACTTCGCCCCTCTCTGCTTCCTCGGGAATCACATTCGTCATGACCGCATACGCACACAGGCGACCGTCGCCTGCTCAGAGGACACACACCGCATACACAATCGTAGAAGCGTGAAGACGAGCAGATGTGAACTGCGCTCTTTGTTCCCCTCACACACATACACACACACGAAGGCACGCACACACACACAAACACACAATCACACGCACACGCACACGCACACGCACACGCACGCACACACACACACACACACACACACACACACACACACACACACACACACACACACACACACACACACACACACACACACACACGAAGGCACGCACACACACACACGCATCGACTGCGCACTTGCGATGGTGAGGCGTTCTGCCGTCTCTGGGACGACGCAGACGGTGGCCCATCCCGCGAGCGGCCGATGGGCGAGGAGGGTCTTGGCGGCAGGCTCACACGGCAGCACAAGCGGGGCGTCCTTGCAACCTGTTTCGAGAACCGTTGGTGGGAGCAGTGGGCCACGTGCATGAGTGGCATGACGTGTGCATGTACACGTGATGTTTTTGTGTGTGATATGTGCCTGAACGTCATGTTTGTGACATGTGTGCGAAATATGCATGACATGTGTGTGTGTGTGTGTGTGTGTGTGCGCGCGCGCTTGTGCACTCACGTTCGTCGGGCTGGAAGCAGGCGACGGTGGCACCGGCGTCCACGGAGTAAGTGATGCAGACCTCCGAGGCTCTTGCAGGCAATGTACACACGTCCGATGTCTCCTTGGTCGCAAAGTCGTACAACTTCACATCCTGTGATTGCAACGATGAACAGCAAGATGCAGGTTGGCGTACATTGTGAGTACACCCGGGCGAAAGTGCCTACGTGCACGGGCAGTTCCGACACAAACGTTCACACATTCAAGGGTACGAGTTCCCACGCACACACACACACACACGCACGCGCGCGCACACACACACACACACACATACACGCACACACACACACACACACACACACACATACACGCGCACACACGCACCTGGCCTTTCTGGTACGCAAATGCCGTATCGGAGATTGGAAAGAAGCCGTCCACGTCGGTCAAGGTGAGCGAGTCATCCAGGGTGGCAACGGTGTTGCCGGCTCCTTGCGACCTGTAGAACTGCAGTGTGCTGGCTTTGCGCTACAACGTGCCGGGCGTGTGTGTGTGTGTGTGTAGATGTGTGTGTAGATGTGTGTGTGTGTGTGTGTGTGTGTGTGTGTGCGTGTGTGTAGATGTGTGTGTAGATGTGTGTGTGTGTGTTGAGAGTGAGCGTTTGGATGGGGGAAGTGCATGAAAAAAAGAGAGTGTGTGAGAGAGAGTGTGTGTGTGTGAAAGAAAGAGAGGGTGTGTGAGTGTTTGCACATGTGTCGAGTGCATTCGTATGCGCACGTGTGAATTATGTGCCTCATCAGTGATCACGGAGAGTGTGTTGGCTTGTCGTCTTCTCCCATTCCCCCCCCCCCCCCAAGCTTATCATTCTCTCCTCAAACACCCCACTGCACGCGTCTCACCTCGCACACGATGATAGCTGCATCATCGTCGCCATCCTCCTTGTTCAAGACAAACACGGCGGACGGCCGCACCACGTCCTTGCCTGGTCCACACAGCGCAGCAATGCGCGCATCAACCCGAGGTTGTTGCGGTGGGGTGGTTGTCATCGTGCTTGCTTGTGGTGTTGTTGCAGTGTGCTTGTTCTGAGCAGCGGTCGAGTTTGATGATGATTGCGGAAAAGTGAAAGCTATCTTGCTACACTTTTCAACACTGTCCTCCAAGCAAACTCACTACGACCACCACAACACCCACAACCACAACAACAACAACCACAACACGCACAATGCCTGCGGTGAGTGCTGCGGACGGGCCAGTGGCCGTGACGGGGGCCAGTGGCTACATTGGGTCGTGGATTGTGCAAGACTTGGTGGAGCACGGATACACGGTGCACGCGTGCGTGCGGGATGTGAAGCGCCCGGAGAAGGTGGACCACCTGCTCGCCTTGAACGGGAAGGAAGGCTGCACGGGCCAAGTGAAGTTGTTTGCGGCGGACCTGTTCAAGGAGGGCAGCTACGACGACGCCTTTGCTGGGTGCGCTGCCGTTGTGCACGCCGCTGCCGCTGTTGGCTACAACAAGGAGACGCCACAGGAGGTGTATGATGGCTGCTTCACGCAGAACAAGCACGTGGTTGACGCTGTGAACAAGGCCGGGACGGTGAAGCGGTTTGTGTTCACGAGCTCCGGCGCAGCGGTCGTGCACCCGCATGCAGAGGGCTACGTGTTTACGGAGAAGGACTGGTGCGACCAAGACCGCGACCCAGAGAAGTGGCGCGAGGCAGACATTCCCACCAATAGGGACCTGGCGTATGCGATGGCCAAGGCAGCGACGGAGCGCATGATCAACGAGCTGTCTGCCAAGGAGGAGACGACGTGGGACGCCGTGTCCACGATGCCGTCGCACGTCATCGGGCCGCTCATGTGCGCCAACCATGACCAGGGCTGGAGCTGGCAGAACTGCATCAAGCAGATGCTGCAGGGCAAGCCGTACACGAAGGTGGCAGGCGGCCGCATGCTGTGGAACATCGTGGACGTGCGTGATGTCGCCATTGGCCACCGCCTGTGTCTGGAGAGCAAGACCATCAAGCCGGGCTCCCGCTACCTGCTGTGCGCCGCCGACCCCTCATACGAGCTCTTCACGTGGCAGCTGCAGAAGCGCATGCAGGAGCTGTTCCCAGACATCCCCGTCATTGGCGGGGAGGAGATGGAGGGCGACAAGCCCGCACAGCCCGTGCCAAACCCGCCCTTTGTCTACTGCACACTGGCCAAGGAGGAGCTTGGCTTGAAGCCCATCGACGTCAACACCACCATCAAGGACACGGGCCTCTCCCTCCAGCGCCTCAACCTTCTCTGATCCCACTGCTTTCATTCGCTTTCTTGTGCAACAAGCGCATACTCACGCAGCCAGGGCTGTTGCTGTTTGTGCAGTGACCTGTGCAGCGTGTGCAGTTGCTCAAGCAGTTACACCTCCTCCTACCATTGACGTGTTCTTGCCTCAACTCCACTGTGCAACGTGGGACTTGCAGTGCCAGCGTGGCACTTGCTTCTTGTTTGTTTTGTTTGCTCTCTCTTTTTGTTTGTTTTTTCATTTCCACACCAAACAAAGTCCTCCCACCAAACAACAAAGCTGAGATCGATCGGTCAAGCTGAAGCAGCAGACAGTGGACACACACACACACACACACACACACACACACACACACACACACACACACACACACGCACACACACACACGGCAAGGCGGTGATGGAGCCAGACTTTCACAACTTGATCCGGCTTGTCGTGATCGGCGATGATGGCGTCGGGAAGACAAGCGTGCTCCGCAAGTTTGTTGTGAGTCCATGTCATTTGTGTGTCTGTGTGTCTGTGCCTGTGTCCTTGTCTGTGTGTCTGTGTGTTTGTCTGTGCCTGTGTCTGCCCGCCTGCCGTGCCTGCCTGTCTTTCCCATCGCACCCCCAACTCACAATATCCCCACATTGGCACTCGCTTTGATCCAGGATCACAGATACAGCGATGTGTACATGCCCACGATCGGCGTGGACTTTGTAAGCAAATACCTGGCTTGTTGTCCCCTCCCCGCCTCTCACTTGCCCTGCGTACGTGCTTGCCAGTTGCTGCCTCGATGCACCCTTAGCATCTTTGGATGATGCGCCATATCCACGCAACCTCCTCACACATCACGCCCTTGCATGATCGTACATGGGATCAAAGAAACTGTCGACCATGGACGGGGCAGGCAAGCGCAGCAAAGTTCAGATTGTAAGTACAACAAGTGACAGCAGTCGTCACGATCGTCCCTGTTGTGCGATCGAGCTGTCGTCTTTGCCCTCGTGCCTCTGCTGCTGTGCGCCTGTGTTACTGCCCGCACCTCAACATTACGTCTCCTGCAATTGCACACTGCGTGTGTGTGTGTGTGTGTGTGTGTGTGTGTGTGTGTGTGTGTGTGTGTGTGTGTGTGTGTGTGTGTGTGTGTGTGTGTGTGGCTTGTTGGTTGCAGTGGGATACGGCCGGGCAAGAACGCTTCCGCTCCATCACGAGGGGCTACTACCGCAGCGCTGACGGCTTCATCATGGCAGTACACGGGGATATCGTTCTAATGGCGGTGGTGGTGATGGTGGAGATGGTGATGGTGGTAGTGGTGGAGATGATGGTGGTTGTCCTGGAAGCACACACACACACACACACACACACACACACACACACACACACACACACACACACACACACACACACACACAGTAGTAGACCGAGTCTGGGTTGTCAATTTCCTTTCCCAGGCGGTGGATCATGCGCGATGGCGTCCAGTGCGCTCCCTGACACACACACACACACGCACACACACACACACGCACGTACGTACATACATACACACATACATACATACCATACATACATACATACATACATACATACATACATACATACATACATACACACATACATACATACATACATACATGCATACATACACACATACATACACACGTGAGAATGAAACAGCACGCTGTGAGTTGCCAGACGCATATGGACTGCGCATCAATGAGCATGCACTATCATCACCACCACCACCACCACCGCCACTATCATCGTCACCTCTGTCTTCTGCTCGTGCAACATCTGGTCCAAGATGGGCATCATCCACTCCTCAAACTTGACGTAGTTCTGGACACACACACACACATGTATACACACATATGTTTGCACACGTACAAGCAAATGCGTAAATGAACAGTGAAGCCCAACGCAAGCGACGCACACACGCACACACGCACACACGCAAACACACACACACACAAACACGCACACAGGAAAGCGTACGTCGTTTGGGACGAGGAGGTTGCCGATGCGGTTGATGCCTTTGAGTCGCAGGTCGCGGCCCTTGAGGCTGAAGTCGCCGAGATACGTGTCCGCCATGCACTGCACACAGGTAGTACGTGCACATGATGAAACAGGTGAGCAACACAATGCACACACGTCAAAGCACACACAATGCACGCACATCGGGAACAGGTGAGCAACACAATGCGCACACGTCAAAGCACACACAATGCACGCACATCGTGAACAGGTGAGCAACACAATGCACACACGTCAAAGCACATGTACAGAAACACACAATGCACTCTCGTATACACGTGTGCACGCTCAAAACAAAAGCGCACGCATTCTGTGGCACGGACCTTGATAAAGTCTTCCTCGATGCCACCAGCAGTAGTCACAATCACGTCCACCTACACGGCCAGCAAAAACAATCAATGAGCGAGGATGAACACATATATACGCATACATGAGCACAGCGCACAGGTGATTCACAAGCAGGAACCCCCTCCACACACACATACACACATACACACATACAAACACATACACACACATGCATGCGCGCACCATCTTGTGTTGCACGAGGAATCGGATGGTGTCGCGGACACCGGCAGAGATCATGTTGGAGGTGTAGCCGAGGAAGATCTTTGTCTTGACCTTCTTACGCGCCTCTGGGTCACGAAGCTCTTCATCCTCGCCCTCCTTCACAGGCTCATCGGCCAGCGACCAGTCCAGCTGCGAGCCCATGCACACGAACGTGATGAATGACAACGAACGAACCAAACAACTACACAAACAAACAACCAACCAAACAACCAGCTTCTCACACAATGTGGTGCCGCACAGGGCATTTGTGTGCACACGGAACACACGGGGCACACGGGGCACATAGAGCACGCCTCACGTCACCCGTGTGCATGCAAGCATCAGCGCCAGCAAGCTCATCAGCGACCTTACCATGCGCTGCACTTCCTCGATGGCAAGGCCGAGGTTGGTGGCCTGGAACCCGGTCGTGAGGAACGACTGCAGCAGCTTGTCGTGGTCCACGCCTTGGTTGAAATCATAGCCTGTTTACGCCGCAACCGTGAGTGTTGGTGCTGATCGTGGTCACGCTGTGGACGTTCGTCCATGTGGCACTGTTATGACTTGACAAGTTCACACTCACACGCACGTGGGCACATTCCCTTTCACACGCGTGGCACACGTACACACACTTGGCACGCACACGCACACACACACACACATGCACACACACATGCACACACACACGCACACACGCACACACACATGCACACACACACACGCACACACACACACACTACACGCACCTTTGACTTTCACTGCGTCCTCCGGCATGGGTTCGCTCCTCAGCAGAACAGCCTGCTGTGCGTCCGTGGCCTGCTCCATGACTGCCTCCTGCGTGATCTACTGTAAACTCACTGATCGGCGAGAGTGATGTACCTGTTGTGCGGCTGTCCGTGATGTGACGGCTGTTGTGGTGGTGGTTATGATGCTTGCTCTGGAGAGCACGTTGTTGCGTGCACGAGATCGCTGAAAATTTATGGAAGCTGTTCGATATTTTTCAGGACTTGACCAACCAGGACGCAAGATGGTGATGGCTGGTGTGTTTACGGGTGTTGCGAGGTTGTGTGGGGTGTGCATGGCGAAAGCGGCCACGGCGCAGCCGCAGAGCATGGCGCGAGGCGTCGCAGCGGGCGTGTTGCGGGCGACATCGGCGCGAACGGTGACGACATATTCTGCGCAGTCCCAGAGAACAGCGAGAGCGGTCATGGCCCACACATCCACGAGCAGACACACGCCGCGCACCCTGCAGTGGCTCAGCCAGAGCTGGAGTCGCCGCCTCTATTCAACACAGTATCAGCAGCCGCAGTTTAGCCGCGGCGATAACAAGGCGACCGCCATCTACGCCACGGCTTGGATCATCATGATCTTGGGCTTCTCCTACGCAGCCGTGCCGCTCTACAGAGCCTTCTGCCAGGCATGGCGTGTGTGTATTGTGCGCTCGTGTGTGTGTGTGTGTGTGTGTGTGTGCGTGCGTGTGTGTGTGTGTGTGTCTGTGTTGTGGGTGATGTACTTGTGTGTGTGTGTGTTTGTGTGTGTGTGTGTGTGTTTGTCTGTGCGTCGTACATTGTGGCACATTGTGTCTCGCGTACTTGTGTGCAGAGAAACGGGCCACCCTGAAGCGGTTGCCGAGAAACGGGCCACCCTGAAGCGGTTGTCATATTTGGTGGGTCACGCGCTCACCCATTTGTTGCGACTTGTACTGACAGGCCACTGGGTATGGCGGTACGGTGAACAAGCACGACAACGATAAGAAAAAGGTGCGGGCATGATCTTTGCGTACAATGGCTCTTTGCGTTGCCTGATTGAGTGGGGCTGTGTTTGGAGGGGTTGTATCAGTCCACCTTGTCCTCATGCGTATTTATTCCTTCAGGTTGAGGACATGGTGCCTGTGGAAGATCGACAAATCACCGTCAGGTGCGTCATGGCTCAGTGCACGTTGGCATGTGCCACTGAACTTTTCTGCATCCACACGCACACACACTCACTCACTCACACACACTCACACTCACTCACACGCACACACTCACACACGCACACACACTCTCTCACTCGCTCACTCCCTTACTCACACACTCTCTCTCACTCGTTCACTCCCTTACTCACTCACTCACACACTCCCTTACTCACTCACTCAACCCCCCCCCCACCTGTGGCTGTTGCGTGATAGGTTCAATGCCGACACGAGTGCCACGATGCCGTGGTCGTTCAAGCCACAACAGAAGGCAGTCACTGTACGTTGATGCAGGCGAGGCAGAGTGAGGGCATCTGTCTGCTGGCTGTTCTATTTGCAGGCTGTGCTGTTGCAAACTGCCCTGCTGCCTACTGCCCTGCTGTCCTGCTGTACGTAGCGACACCCGTGCACACCTACCTTCACATGCGTCACGCCCTACACCCTTGCTGCGCACGTGTGAACAACGCAGGTTGTTCCTGGCGAGACAGCGCTTGCGTTCTTCACCGCCTCCAACCCCACGGATGAGGCCATCACAGGCATCTCCACATACAACGTCGTCCCCTTTGAGGTGCTGCTGATGATGTGTCTTGCATGTGTGTGTGTGTGTATGTGTGCGTGTGTGCGCGTGTGTGTATGTGTGTATCTGCATCACTGTCTGTATCTGTATCATTGTCTGTGTGTGTCTGGTGCAGAAGACTGACACCAGCACCTCCTTGTGTATGTGTGTGTGCAAACAGGCAGGGCAGTACTTCAACAAGATCCAGTGCTTCTGTTTCGAAGAGCAGCGATTGAATCCAAACGAGGAGGTGGATATGCCCGTCTTCTTCTACATCGACCCGGAGTTTGCAGAGGACCCAAACCTCATGCGGGTGCGGCGGCACTGCTGATGGAGATGGCCGTGTTGGCATGCATGTCTCCATGTTTGTCGCTTGATGACGTGACATGACCAAACCACCCCTGGCACACGCACACACACACACACCCACGCGCGCGCACGTTGATGCTTGCAGTTAAAGCTCACATCCACACACACACATCCACACACACACACACACACACACACACACATGCACAAAACAACGACACAACACCCCCCCCCCCACACACACACACACACACACATGCACATACATACACACACACGACAGATTAATGACATTACGCTGAGCTACACGTTCTTCAAGTCCACGAGCACCGTGTCCCCCATCGTGCCACCAGAACAGCGGCAGCTGCAGCAAGAACAGGCCTCAACAGCATAAAGTGTCGTTCGTGAACTTGCCGAGCTTTGTTGAATGTCCTGGTCATTATTCGTCTACCATTACACCCGCTACGAGTGTTACGAACGCGCCGAGACGTGGTCGCACGAGCATTCACGTCGCATGTCAGTGCGAGAGTGTGACCGCTTCTGCGTGCAGGTCATCACAACCACATCACCACCGACAGCACAGGCACACGACGCTTCGTGTGTGTAACAATAAGAACAAGAAACACAGCGCGTCATAGATACAATCGAAGCAGCAACGACCATTTAACATGTCGGACAGACGTCCTCAGCGAGGCAGTGGCGGCAGAGCCAACAAGCCAGCATCATCAGCATCAGCATCCTCCTCGTCGTCCTCTGGACAAAGACAGCGCAACAACAACAACAACAAGAAGAACCAACAGGGAGGCGGCGGTCGAAAGAAGTCCGGCAACCAAAAGAACAAGCCAAGAAAACAGCAGCACCAGCAGCACCAGCAGCAACAACAGGCGGGTGAAGGACTCACGCCTTTGGCGCCCCTTCCAGGTTTGCCATCCCTTCCGACTTTGGGCAGCTTGCAGTTGGGCGAAGGCCCCGCACCTAACTCTTCATCTGCGCATAGTATGAACAGCACTACCAGCATGCCTGTACCCATGAACTCGTCAGCAGCACCATATGTCCCAGCCGCAATGGGGCATGGTGACACCGTGCCACCAAACGCCCGGCCACAGCGGGCGCCACGCAGCTCCAGACGCGACAGACAGCAGCACCAGCAACAAGGAGGTGGATCACCTCACCGCGGCCGCCGCAGAGGCAACAGAGGCGGCGGTGACCACCAACATCACCAGCCACACCAGCAACACCAGCAGCCGCATCAGCACCAGCATCCGCATCAGCACCAGCATCAACATCCTCGGCATCAACACCAGCAGCCATACGTGCCACATCATTTGAACGACGCGCCATATCAGTACCACGTCCCAGAGGCCATGGATGCCAAGTCTGCAGCGGAGCTTCGGGAAGAGTCGATTGATGCGTCTGTGGACGCGGGTACGCTGTGTGGTGTTTGCTTCGAGCCCATGCACATCCGCATGCTTGGTGCATGCAACCATCCCCTCTGCTATGTCTGCGGGCTTCGTCTCCGCATCTTGTGGAAGAGCAACGCATGCGCCATCTGCCGCACAGACCTCCCAAAGGTGCGTGCCTCACTCTTTGGGGGACGAGGAAGAATGCAATGGGAGGTGCCAACGCATGTGTTGGGAATGCATGAATGCGCAGCATCTGTGTGTGTGACTGTGTGTGACTGTGCGTGCTTGCGTGTGTGTGTCTGTGTGTGTCTGTGTGTGGTCTTCCTGTGTGTGTCTGTGTGTGTCTGTGTGTGGTCTTCCTGTGTGTTTGCGTTGCGCCCATTCCATCATTGATGCTTGTCTGCTCCATTGTTCGCATTGTTTGTACGTGCTGGCTGCAGGTTGTGCTGACGACGGCCGCACACGAGGACTTTGATGAAGCGAAGGTGTCGGCCATGAAGTTCAACAAGCGCCTCAAGTCATACGTCGCCTCACCAGAGGCAGAGCAACGTGAGGACACAGGGCATGCACATTCATGCACACATTGATGAACACATTCATGCACGCGCACATGCACAACACGCATCCATGTACACACGCACACTCATGCACAACATGCACACTCATGCACAACACGCGCTTACAACAACATGCCATACAACACCCTTTGATCACCACCCCATGTGCTCACGCTTGCATGCATGCAATTGTGTGCGTGTGTGTGCTTGTGCTTGTATGCAGAGTGCCTGCAGCTGTTTGCGCTGCAGTGCAAAGTGTGCGGGCAGCAGTTTAAGGAGCCGTACAAACTCCGCGACCACGTCAAGAGAAACCACCACCTCCACTACTGCCCGCTCTGTGTCGGAAACGCACACAAGTTCTACTTTGAGCTGGTGTGACCCCCGTTGCATCGTGATTGTGGTCCTGTGCACTCCGTGGCCTGCGATGAGGAACACAGCACATGCGTGCGCATGCGCGTGCTTGCTTCCTTGCTTTCTTGCATGCTGCACAACACATGATATGTGCTGTGTGCAACTGCTGCCTCACCACTGCCACCCCCATCGTCCCCTTGCCTCTCGTTTGACCAATTCAGGATTTGTTTACGCACAAGGAGCTGGAGCAGCACAAGCAGCGCGGCGATGGCCAGGGCTTCAAGGGCCACCCGCCATGCAAGTTCTGCAACACGTACGTAGCATCACGTGTGTGTGTGTGTGTGTGTGTGTGTGTGTGTGTGTGTGTGTGTGTGTGTGTGTGTGTGTGTGTGTGAACACGTGGGCTTGGTGTTTGTGCCTCTCCAACTCAACTAGGATGCTGTCTTTTGATTTCACACTTCACGGTAGAAGGTACACACACAATCTCACCGACCACCGCCCCCACCCCCTTCTCACATCTACGTCACCACTCACCCCAACGCCATACTCGTGCCTGCAGGCATTTCTACGACAATGATGCGCTGTATGTGCATCTGCGCGAGGCCCACGAGCACTGCCAGCTCTGCGCCAACCTCGGCAAGCACAACGAGTTCTACCCAACACGCCGCGCCCTGGCAAACGTGAGACAGTGCCGGTGATTGTGGTGGTGGGAGGTGTGGTGCTGCTGATGTGTCTTTTGATGTGACACTGGCATGTCTCTGCTTCGAGGACCTCTTGCTTTGCAGCCTCGCACAATCAACCACTCAACACGCACATACGCACACCACACACGCACACGCACATGCACACGCACATGCACACGCCCGATACCACGACAGCACTATGAGAAGGAGCACTACACTTGCCCGCACTGCGAGGTGACGGACATGGTGGCGTACGAGGACGAAATTGCGCTGCGCAAACACATCAAGAGCGCCCATCCCGAGTTTGCACGCGGCGGGCGACGACAGCTGCTGGACATCAGCGACGCATCGTCATACGCAGACAGGAACACGCGGTCCGGCAGAGGTGATGATGGCAGTCGTGGTGGCAGGAGACGCGGTGGTGGCGGTCGTGGTGGTCGTGGTGGTGGTCGGTTTGCTGACGACGATGATGACAACGACATTAGATTCGCTGCAGCGCGGCACGAATGTACGTTGTTCTGGCTGTGTGTGCGCGTGCGTGCGCGTGTGTGCGCGTGTTTCCGTGGGCTGGACGTGTTGCCTCTGGCTTGCGCGCCATGTCGGGATCTCCACTGCATCGGTTGCCCCTTCCCCCACCCCTCACTTCCATTTCTCCCCACTTCCCGGTCCTTTTTTTTTTTTTGTCCTTCTTGCATCTCGCTGATTTTCCGCCATGCGAGCAGACACCGCCCAGCCGCCCGCTGCCCACGAGCCGCAGCAGCACCAACAGCAGCAGCAGCAGCAGGGGTTGAGCCTGGAGGAGTTCCCCTCTCTCGGCAGCGAAGAACAGCAGGTCGGGACGTGTACAAGCACACGTATGCACGCTCGCGTGCTCTCATCGATGCTCACACACACACACACAACACACACACGCGCGCGCGCACCAGCCTTGTCTTGCCGTTGCTTGGATGTTTCCAACCAGCTCTAACCCGGCCACTGCATGCACGTGTGTGAACAGGCTGCTGTCCCCTCCGCGCCGTCGTCCCATCGATATGCAGCACAGACACGCACGCGCACACAGCAGCGTCCACCAGCCCAACAACAACGTCAACAACACAAGCAACACCAGCAGCAACAAGAACAACAGCAACAACAACAGTGGGCACAACCATCCACCTCAGCATCAACATCATCGTCCTCTCGCCCCAACTTTGCGCTGACGGCGCGGCGCACGGCAGAGGAGAATGCGTTGGCGGAGCACGGCGGTCCAAAGCCCGTGCAGCCGCGCGCTGCATCGTGGGTTGCGCGCGCTGCCCCATCAGGCGGCGTCCCAGGTCAGCTACCTGCCCCGTGTTGGGGGGTTGCGGGCGTCTGTCCGTGTGTGTCTGTGTGTGCGTGTTTGCCTGTGTGCGTGTGTATGTGTGTGTCTGTGTCTGCGTGTGACTGTATACCTTGCCTTGTGTCGTCTGTAAGCGTGTGTGTGTGTATGCCTTGCCTTGTCTTGTCTTTCGTGTGTGTGTGTGTGTGTGTGGTTGATGGCTACTGAGATTTCTCACGTTCATCCCTCTCGATCCACCACTGAAAACCACCGCCACAACAACACGATACCACGATGTGCAGACTCGTCAACAGCGTCTCGCGCCGCCCGCGCTCCGACGATGGAGTACAAGTACATCAAGGCCCCTGACTTCAAGTCCAGGAATGCAAAGTTGCTCAAGAAACTCAAGGAAATCATGCGTACGTCTCAACACCCACGCACGTGCCCTTTTCATCTACATGTGTGTGTGTGTGTGTGTACTTTCGCGTGGTTGTGTCTGTCTGCATGTACAGGTGGCTGTTGCTTGCCAAAGTCTTTGAGAGATTCAACTACGCGTCTCGAGTACCCATCTCACGTCACACATCACACATCACACACCTGCCACACCAACACCCCACTCTCCCGCAACTTGTCTCTTGCAGCGAAGAGCGATTACGACGAGTTCATGTCCATGAGCTCCGCATTTCGCTCAGACTACATCTCCGCTTTTGAATACGCAACAAAGTATGGTGACCTCGATGCTGTCTGAAGTGCAATTCGATGCACACCTGCACAAACGTACACCTGCACGCATTCATGCACACATACAAACGTACGCAGATACGTACATACACTCACTCACTCACTCACTCACTCACTCACTCACTCACTCCGCAGGTGCCAGGAGTTGCTTGGAAAGCACTTTGAGAAGATGTATGCCGACCTGGTAGTGCTGTTTCCAGACCTCGCTGTGCAGACGAGTATGGTTGAGGCGTGGCGTAAGATGCATGCGCCCGCACCGAAGATCCGCGTTGGTCGCTCGCAACCGCGCCAGGCCCGCGCAAAGCACGCGCAGCCCACGAACCAGCACTGGCGCTACTGCCAATACTGCCACCAGGTACACGCCCCGCCTTGCCTGTGCCTGCGTCTATTTTGTGTGCGTGTGTCTGTGTGTGTGTGTGTGTGCCTGCGTCTGTTTGTGTGTGTGTGTGTGTGTGTGTGTGTGTGTCTGCGCGCGTGTCTGTGTCTGGATCTGTCTGTCCCTTTTGCATTTGATCAATGGACGACTGCTGCTTGCCACTGTGTTTGTCATGTTGACCCCGTCACGCGCGCGTGTGAACGCCACGACCTTTTCTTCTCCTCCCCTTACACAACCAACAACAACAACAACAACAACAACAACAACAACAACAACAACAACAACAACAACAACAACAACAACAACAACAACGCAGGTTGTGTCGCCGAATGAGCTTGGAACGCACGAATCGCACCACGATGTGCAGCAGGAGGAGGAATTCCCGTCACTGCTGCGCGTGCCTAAGCACAAACCAAAAAAGAAGACAGCTGGCGTGTGGGGAAAGTGATGTGACATGCTATGCTGTGTGTCACGTCATACCATGACATGTGTTTTCATGCTTCACCTCTACATTTGAGCTCGCTGCTTCTTGTTTGTCGACTGATGTGAGTCAACAGGCTCTTGTGGTACACACGAGTGGTCGTCGCGCTGTGTGTAGAGGCACGTGACATCTTAGCAGTGACATGACATGATGTGATGTGAGGAGGGATTGTTTGAAGGCTTGAACTGCAATGCAAATGTGTGCTGCTTGGTGTCACACACGGTTTCAATCGCTGGTGTGAGCTGCAGTGGTACGGTATATGTCCACGACGACAATATCATGGCGTTTATTGGTTACGGATACAAGCACACACACGCGCATGTGCACCACATCTACTCTTCTGTCTTTGTGACGTGTGCGCGCTTGCTGGGCTCCTCTGGGCCACCCCTGTGATTGCAGCAAGCAACACACCAACATCAGTGACACAAGCGAGCTCAAAACGGCGTACCTCATGAACATGTGTGCGTGTGTGTGTGTGTGTGTGTGTGTGTGTGTGTGTGTGTGTGTGTGTGTGTGTGTGTGTGTGTGTGTGTGTGTGTGGGTGTGTGTGTGGGTGTGTGTGTGGGTGTGTGTGTGGGTGTGGGTGTGGGTGTGTGTGGGTGTGGGTGTGTGTGGGTGGGTGCACGTGGCTTGACTTGCACACCCTCCGCTCCCACCGCCAAAACACACGAATGACGCACGTACGCTTTGCGCTTGCTTCGCTTCTTCTCCTGTGCTTGCTGTTTCCGCTTGTATCTGTATCAATGAGACGTCAGTGACAAAGGTGGTGTGAGCAACAGTTGCAGTCATGTCTCCTGCACTTGCGTGTGCATGTGGGGGAAGAAGGCGAGGCGCGCGAACACACACACATACACATGTACACACATACACATGTACATACATGCACACGTACTCCTCTGATGCAGGATTGAAGAATGGGTTTCTGCACATTTCCAAGCGATCCAACAGCGCCTGTCATCGGGTCAGTTGAGATGCGTGAAGGACGTGTGCAATTGGAGTCAACTACAACGCACATGACGAAGACTGATGCACATGTATCTTCACGTACACACACGTACACACACACGTACACACGCGCACACACGCACACACACGTACACACACACGTACACACACACACACCTTCTGTGTTGCATCATCAATTTCAAGCGTTTGCAGGTCGCGCGTGGCAATCTGTTTGACTTCCTCCAAGCGCGCCGCCATCGTGTCTGTGGACGGGTGGTCGTCTGGTCGTGACTCAACCAGCGCCTGCACATATGCAAGTGGATCAACAGTCCGCTTCTCCAGCTCATCAACAAAGACAGCGAGCGCAATCTGCGAGGGCGGAAACAGAAACTGGACGTCCGTGAACCACCATCGCAGCGTCGTGTCGCTGGCGCGCAGATGAACATCGTCCCAGAACGCATCTGTGTCGAGCTCTGACACCACGCCATCATCCATCTCCTCAATTGCCGTCACCAGAGGCGATAGCGGCGCTCCCATGGCCTCTGCTGCTTCGTGCTGTGCACTTGTTGCCGCTGCTGCTGCTGATGCTGCTGTTGGTGCTGCTGTCTGTTGGGCAGATTCGGCCTCAGCATTGCCGCTGCCTTTACTGCTCTTGCCTTCTCCCTGTGCCGCCTTGTTTGTCGCTTCCTTCTTGTCCGCATCATCGCCACCCTCACCCTCATCAGCATCATCATCATCATCATCATCATCGTCGTCGTCATCATCATCTTCCTCCTCCTGCAGCTGGCGTATGCTCGCGTGCGTCAAGTGCTCCCCTCGCCCCGCGCTTGCCTTCCTCGCTTTCGCCTCTTTCACCGCATCTTCTTCAGCAGTGGCAGGGGTTGCTGATGTTGATGAGATTTTGGTGTCTGATGCTGCTGCGCTCTCGCTGCTGCCTGCAAACACATCCCGGCCACCACCTGCTGCTTCGCCAGCGCCACCATCGCCATCACCAGCACGTGGTGTCTGCCGCCGGAGCAGCGCCTCTGCGAACAAGGAGCGCGCGTGGCTGACAAACCCGCGCAGGGGGCGGAACGGCGTGTGGACGAGGAAGTGGAACTGCAGCTGGGCGGAAAACTTCACCTCAAAGCGCTTCATAAACGCGGCCTCCGTGCCGAAGAGCGTCGCCAGTTCCGTGACGGTGAGGTTGTACTCCTCCGCCTTGCAGGCTATGAATGCGGACATGGCGGCGATGAAAGATGGGTGGTAGTCCATGACTGTGTTGGTGAGGTGGTACCGGCGGAAGAACGAGACTGCCGCTGCGATTACGCGGTGTGGGCACGTGGCGACGTGGCTTCGCAGCTTAGTCTGGATGTGTTTGCAGAAGGTGAAGATCAGCTGCTGCTCCTCCTGTGTAGACAAGTATACGCTGTCATCCTCAATGGGTTTCAATCTCACCAAGCCCTAGCCCAACAGAGATGTCGATACCATGAGTGAGTGTGTGTGTATGTGTGAGTGTGTATGTGTGAGTGTGTATGTGTGAGTGTGTATGTGTGAGTGTGTGTGAGTGTGAGTGTGTGTGTGAGTGAGTGTGTGAGTGTGTGAGTGTGAGTGTGAGTGTGAGTGTGAGTGAGTGTGTGAGTGTATGTATGTGTGAGTGTGAGTGTGCATGTGCATATGCATGAGTACAGGTGCATGAGCGTGTGCGCATGCATACCTTGACGGCGGCGACCTTCTTCTCATACACGTTTGCGCGGTTCTCCAACAATTGGTTCTCGGTTGGAAAGATCCTATGTTGGCGTGGCAGGAACATGCACGTGAGCGAGTTCCTTGAGTGGATTCGTGACACACAACACACGCACTCTCTCTCACACTCACACACGCACACCCTCACCCTCACCCTCACACTCACACACGCACGCACAACACATTCACGCACGCACATAGCTGCGTACCATTTCGATCGCTGAGTGCTACTCGTGAACATGATACTGGCTGGTCGTCAAATCACCACACACCAACACTGCTGTCAGCTGCACCGTCGTGCTTTGTCGCTGCCGCCGTTTCCGAAAGTTGTTTATAATTTCGTTAGTTTTTCTACAATGTGACGACGTGCGG